ACTGTGATGCGGTATGCTAGATGTCTTGTTTGAATGCTGCATGTTTTATGCATTCTGTAGCATGCATTTTAATGAATGTTTATTTAAATCAGGTGTTATAATAGGTTTTATTTCTTACTTTTGCATGATTCTGTTTAATGTAAGTGGAATGTTATACTTTTTATCTGAAGTTTTACTTGCATTGTAAGTCCTAACCATGTTTTACATATTTTATCTTTACCCAATGTATTTATTGGTATTTGAGCGGTACTCAACTCTCAACACTTAATAGAGCTGGCATCAATGATCCCGAAGGACCAGAAAAATACAACAACATTGAAGTGAAGTACGGGACAACTTTTTACAGCTGCCACACATCACTTAACACCTGTTGTTGTGAAGTATAAAAATCTGAAAACAAAGTGACCTCTCGATAGCATTATTCACAACAAAATTATATGAAAATTGCAGACTCGGTTTGATTGAGTCTGTACATGAGAGATAATGAAAAGTACAACATCCCTCACGTCCCCTAGCACCGGCTTGAGCCTCAATTCTCAACACTTAATAGTGCTGGCATCAATGATCCCGAAGGACCAGAAAAATATAACACATTGTTTCTATAAACTAAATAGACATAATGATACGAAGATGTTCACTGGTGTTGTCCTCGCAGACTAGACTTAAGCTTCAACCGCTAAACATATCACAACAAAGCTGAATGTCGCATTTGCCCCTATATGTCGTACCATTGCGGCTAAATGTCGCAACAGCCGCTTAGTGTCGCACGATTTTCTTGTGCCGTTAAATGACGCAACACTACTGTTAAATCTCGCAAGATGTATATTCATGATAAAATTATGTTACCTTGTGGTATTCAATTACAATAAACATCGAGTAAATATTTGTATAAACATTGTATTTAAGAACTTTTGGACATAAAGGAATGTCCCGATCCGTCTGCAGGCTCAAGATGAAAAATGCTTTTTAAAGTGGATTGGTCTACAATTTGCACATTTTCAACAAATATTTCAAATATTGATAAAAACATCAGAAACGTTTCATTTGGATATTCCTTGAAAAAATTGTTTATCTAGTTCTACCCACAGGAATAAAACACTTTGATCTGATATTATCCCCTAGTCCCTGTTACAACCCCAAAAGATATTATTTAAAGTCAATTTCCACACTACAATAATATGACACTATTACACAATTTTCATTATACCTCTATGGTATTAGTTATACAATGGTAGCAACTCCTGCGCCCTTCCAGTGCTTTGGTTCTGCTCAAGTCATAACTCAGCCAAGTCTCTATATAATTTTAAAAACTTGGCATCAATCAATAGAGCACACATATATGTTCCATAATAAGGACGGGATTTTCGTTGGTGAGTATAATCGATTGTTTAGGTTTTACAGGTGCGATGGTATTTCAAACGCAACATTGTCTCCTTTTAGCGATTCAGCCGTAGAAATGTCTATGCTTACTTAATCAGATCTTTTCAAATTTCATGTTACTGGCTGTTAATATGGAATATATCTTCTACTCAATTATCTTGTAGAAGAAATGATTACCTTATTTCACGATAAAAGATATTTGTACATGTATAGGCAATTTAATCATGCATTCAGTTAATTAATTGAAAAACATTGGATTCATATTTCAAAACAAAATGTTAAATAGGTATTAACACTACAAAAAGAATATATAAGGTTGTGTTGTTGTTGTTGTTGCTGTTTTCACTTGTTTTTGGGTTTATTTTTTGTGTGTGTCTTTCTCTCTCTCTTTTTTCCCTTTTTTCAAGTACATTATGAATTTTTAACGTATTATTCAACCACTAGTTTTCAGCAAGAGACAAAATAACGTTTTATTTTCGTATCACAAATAATGCACATTTATAATTTTCAAAAGCTAATACGAAATTGTAAGCAAAAGTTGCCCTTCAGACAACAGTTTTTCTATTCTACTCTATGAATGAGTGCGCCAGTGAAGGAACTCATTGGCGGGTTCCATATCTGAGAAGTACTGGCGCTTCCACTGATGCACTTAACCCACACCATCTGTCCAGTTGTTACTTTAGTGATGGCACTAATTGAACCACATTCGACGATGGCATTGTCATATTTGTACGACTGGGCAATATAGGTTCCATCAAGGACGATAGCATAGGTAATCACCTGACCACTGTTGTTACAAATGTGTACGGCAAAATGGTAAAGTCCTGATACAGGTGCCTTGAATTTCCCTACCACGTTATCATACGCATTCCCTTCGTTCAGCCGGATGTGTTGCCATATCATTATTTGATTTGTTTCCGGAGAGGTGTCCAGTACCTGATACGCATTAAAGGCAATTATCGGCAGATCAACTTTACCTGAAAATATATTAATATGAAAATATCATCTGATGAACATTTTTGTTCATGCAAAGGCCCCGTACCATCACAAATAAAACAAACCAATTAAAAATAGCGATAAAAATTATAAAATAGTGTATTAACATGTGTGTTGTTAAAATGAATATATGAAACATTTACAATAACTTCCCAAACTTTACGAATAAACAAATTGCAAAAACTGTATCCATGTATAACTATTTCCTTTTGCTGAACATCTAACGACTCCCCTTTTTTCGTGTAGATATACCTGTCCTGTAATGTTTTGTTAATTGTTCTAATGTTTTGTTAATTGTTCTATTATTGGATTTTTAAGCATTCCAAGTTGTATTGTTATAAAATAGAGAAAAAAAGAATCCCTAAAGAAAACACAACTATCGTCGACGTCCCCTAGAACCGGCTTAAGCAGAATTAAACATATAACATTTCGAATTTTGAAACATCCACAGATGTATACATATGACGGTTATCATGGAACCTTCAATGCGACACGTTAAAAGCGGCATATTGTCCCAAAGTAAAAAATGCGTGTATCCTAGGGCGAAACTAAATAAAATGGAATTTTGAAACGGGATCAGATTATGAAGCCTGCATATCACAGATAAGCTGTCATAAAGACACAATTAAAAACATAACCTAATGGTAATTAAACAGTATTCAGGTAAGGAATACTGGGAACCCCCCGACTAGAAACTCTAGTATTGTGTAAGGGAGTCAAAAATACTGTTTTGTTTACCTTTCGATAATTTTATGACAAATAATTTTAGATTCAGCAAAACTGTCTGCAGGTTGTAAGCATTTAACATGCCCTAAAACTTTTACATGTTTGCACTGTTTAAAGAAGAAAACAAATGTATGCTTCTGAGGCATAAGTGTGCATTACAATGAATTCTAAAATACTAACTCTATTTCTATGTTTTTAATTAAGCAATATTGTAATAATCAACCATAGGTCTTTTCAATTATAATTTGAAACGTGTTTTGTCCGAGATAATGTTGTAATTCATGAACATTTCTATATATTTGCTTAACATAAATGTCTATGCTTTATTAACAGTTAAATAAAGAAATGTAAAAGAAATATTTTAGAGATGAACCTTCTTTGCTGTTAACAACATTTCTAAATTCAATTGAAATCACTCACCCTCCAGTAATTCATATTCTGCAGTTTTATTTTCCAAGATATTTGTTTGATCATTTATGAAAATGTTAACTTCTGTCTTAGCTTGTTTCAAGTCGTTTTCCATTCTTTCCATTTTCTTTTCAATATGAATCATCTTTTCAAGAAGCTTGGCATGGTACTCGAATGTGTCGACTTGTTTATCCCCATATGCTAGTGCTGCTACACATAAAAGTCCAAACAAATTCGCACCTAACATAGTCTCTTGTTGATGTTCATAAGTCGATTTATACAATTCAAATAACTTACTTACAATATGAACACATATGAATTATAATAGAATTGTATTTCTTCATTTTGATTGGTTAAAATAAATGATTGTTTTCTTTTTTATCAACAAAGTAGTTGTCAGCAGATGTCGTTGTTATGTTTAAATGATGGTGTTCTGTTTAAAACTTTTAAACCCAATCAAGTTTCTGAATTCATCATGCAGGAAAAATGACAAAGCAGGAAAAAATATTTATGAAGGCACTTGTTTCAATGGATCCACACGTGTTATGTTTTCCTTCTTTCAGTATTACATGCGTGTACATATAACAAGTGTTCTAGATTAAATTAAATGCTATATCTCAATCTGAGACAGGACAGGTTGTTGTTTTTTTTTTCAAGATAACTATACTGAGTGTGCATGCACTTGATAACAGAGAAATTTTGTTTACTAATTTAAACAAAGAATTGGCATATTTGGCATCAAAACTTGAAGAAATGTATTGAACACACGACAGTTTACATTTGATTTCAATATGATTATTATCAGAACTTTGTTTACGTGTAGACTGGCGACATTCGAACAATAAATTTTGCAGAATTTTGCTCTTTGTAAATGTGTTACTTTTGCTTCTTGAATTTTTGAATGGATCAACATTCAAAAGTTACATCAGTTCCATACAGGCTCGAACAAATACATGTATATGTGTCGTTTATAATAATTCAAAAGTTAAAATGATTTAAACTATTTGTACTGTTAGTCATTGAAGAGCACGATTTGGTAAACCAATAGTATCGTAAATATGTTGATTTTTATCTGTTTTATTAATGAATATATGGTAAGCATACATTTCCTGCGCCAAGCACATGGCATGAGTCCCAGATTCACAATATTTATTAGGGATTATGTTTGACACCTATTATCAGGAATTACATTTCTAATGCAGTGCAGATTAGTCATTTTAAATTTGTTAGAATATCTATCAAGATGGTTTGCATAAGTTAATAGTTTCTGCTTTAATACATAAGTATGAATCAATTTATGTCACAGGTGCCCCTCCTCGGTTTTATATGATATTTTTCCTCAAACCCAAATGGACTACTTGACATCTTGTACTTGAAAATAAAATCATATCTACAAACGTGAAGTATTGTCAAATGAAAATAAAACAGCACGTCTTCTGAAGCAATTTACCATTCACGCGTTTAACCATTTAAAACATTGGCCTACGTTTGTTACTTCATTGCAGTTATCATTTAAGCAAGAACTATTTGATAATAATGTGTGGGAAAACAAAATTGGTCGTTTTGGTAATAGTTCAAATCGCAATGAACGGGCTATGTTCTGCCGAGGGGGAAAACTTGACGTATATAGCTCAGGTATTAGACAAGGTGGTTCGACTAGAGGTGAAGGTTAAGGAGTTAGAGAAGGATATGAAGAAAACAAATGCTGATACTAAAGATGTCTTGGAAAATGTGAACAATGTGTTGGATAACAAAACAGCAGAGCTTGAGCTCTTACAAGGTATTTTACATATAATTTTATCTGAATAAGGCCATCCAACGACAGGCTTTATTTGATATTTAGATAGTTTATGTCTGGATTGTAACTAGATTTTTAATGACAAGGAAAATATAGAAATAATAAGAATGAGGAGATACAATGTGTACTGCATGTAGGCGAATTCACGTTTTCATTCATTATTCAATTTGAAGGAACATGGACTCATTTGATATATCAATATAAAATCTAAAACCTAAGAATAGATATAAGTTTATGTTGGCGCAACTTTATGTTATAACAAACCTGAGTTTTTGTAGCAATTTGTTCTTTTCACACGAGCTATATATGCAGCTTTCATTTATTATTACAGACAGAGATTATACACCAATCATTGCGTTTAACGCATACAGTCCAGTCGATATGAGTTTGGATACAAGCCAGATCCTAATACTTCAAACTGTCCGGCTGAATGAAGGTAACGGATATGATAACGTTCTGGGCGTGTTTACTGCTCCTGTAACCGGGCTCTATTTCTTTGTAGCACATATTTGCAACTACGCAGGACGAGGTATTCACTACGATATCATGCTTGAACACAATACAATAGCTAAAAGTACACAATTCAACAACGTACAATATGACTGTAGCTCAACAAGCGCCGTCACAATGGTCACAAAAGGTCAAAGGGCATATGTCAAGTGTACAAGTGGAAACACCAGTCCGCAATTATATGACGATACACACAGACAAACGTCGTTTTCCGGATTCCTTTTGCAAAGGAAATTTTCCTGAAATTAACTTTAGGAAGACATTCGTAGAAATTTAGCCGTAGATCTACATTATTTTTCGCTTACTTTATACATTATACATAAAAGATATAGAGGATATTTGTTTGTTTGTGTGTAAGATGAAATAAAATTACATCTTACACAACAAACAGACAAATTTTCTTTTTATTTTATGCTTTAAAACAAGTTAAAACGAAATTTCCATAATTTTAACGTTAATATTAAAATCTGTTTCCCCCATTGAGAGCCCCATTTAGAGGGAATTTCTCATTAAAAACAAGAAGTCTTGAGCTGAAAAATAAGTCCGCCAATGGAGGTTAAATGAATGTGATATTTATTCATTTTATTAAAAAATATGAATGATCGCTTGTTTTAATAATAAAAACAAACAATTCTTGTAGGAGAAAAAGTCCAACCATCCATCCATATTTCTGTTACTTACTGCGAATTTATATTAGACCTGGCTTTGTAAAATGTAAACGGCAGCCATTTTTTAAAGTCGTGTATGTCATGGGAGGAAAATAATTGTGTAAGATACAGAAGGATATAATTTGGATTTGTTAGTCATACACCTTTTTAAAAGAAAGAAAACTTATTTGAGGATTGTAACAGACTAAAAAATAAGTGTTGACAGAAGTGAAAACATTCAGAAAAGGAGCTAGGAAAATGGAAAACTTGGAAGCTTGCTAAGGCATTGTAAGGAACGCTGGGTTGATTTACTTATTTTACGAGTGATAGCTGTCAATGCTTTTCAATTTTTCATAAAGCATACGGCAGTTATTGCTCGTAGGATACTTTAATATGCCCAAATGTCATCAAGAGCAGTTTTGCATGGGGAAGGAATGTATTTTTCAGACTGTAAAAACGAAACAAAAAAATTTAGAGACGAAATTTTGTGATTGGAATTTGAAGGAATAGAAGTAAGTTTTCTCTCTTTATTTTACTTTTGACAATTATGTTATTTATCTATTTCAGCTTTGCTATTTTTTTAACAGCCTGATATTGTCAGAATTGTCAGTAAAAATAGAATTGAGGTACCACATGGGGAAAATCTTAAAAAAGTAGTTTCGTCATTGAAAAAAGTGAAATTATATTTTGATAATTTTCACTGTGAAATTATCAAATATAATTTTCACGGATAAATCAGTAATCCACTGAAAAGCATAAAATAAACAACGTTCTTCTTTTACTTAGACAATGTTAATATTACTGTATGAACATGGTGTGCTTTTGAATATTTCATTATTGCTCTTGTTGACGTAGTTATTCATATATTTCTGTAATTTCATAAATGTTCATATTTTCAGTTCATAAGACTATGACTGTAAATAATGTAAGAAATAAAGACAACACATTCTACTAGTTTCTACTTTAGTACGTCTTCATGAGAAATGAAAATCTACAACATACAAAATGACGTAACGTCCGTTCAGGCGGTAACGTCTACTATTTACCTTACGTAAATATAAATCAAAATGATACTATATATAGGTTTTAGATTTTTTTATTACATTCTCATTTTTGATTATGTGATGATCATGAAATATTTTGGTATCAAAATAAAGTTTAATATCATCAAACGATAAGTGTGTAATGTCTTGTATCAAAGAAAAAAAGCGATAATATCCAGAGATACTATCATTCGGAACACCTTTCCGACTATTTATAATATTTCAAGAGGCAGGGAAAATTATCGAACATTGGTCCTGGTGATACTTATAAATAATTCATATATCGTGATTTAAAGGTATTGAAATACTTTGATATGACTTTTATTATGTAATCATTTGTTGTTTGTGGTTAGAAAATGAGCTGTACATAGATCTATTTCTCTGCGGTGATTTTCCTCTGGGAATGTTTGATAGACACTTTTATAGGACATGTTTGAAATTGTCAATGATTACACCGTCCGTAAAAAATAAATTGTTGGAATTACGCGGACTATCAATTGTTGTTCATTTTGATGAATATTAACCATATACCTCAAGCAAATATAATTTGCTATCAGATTTTTCATTAAAAGTATTGAAGAAACTATTATTTTCTTCAACGTTTGTCATATATTTTCGAATTGCTGAGCAACAGGTTTACTCCTTGTCTAAAGTTTTCGGAATATTTTGCCTTGCAATGTGCTCTTGGCTAATCCCAATCAAACTGTTCACTGTGCCCTGATAAAGATTGAAAGTATTTATAACTTATAAATGATGTAAACAAAATAAGAACGTTAAAGTAACGCGGACTTTTATCGAAAATGCCGAAGAAAGGAATGTTTATTTTCTAAATTGTTGATAAAGATCGCCGACAGATCACCGATCTCTCTTATTCATTTCAGTATAAGACATCTGGGGAAAAATCCCTCCTTTTGGTTTGTAAGCGTATTTTAATAAGCAAGCGTGTGGTATCCACTTTTTTTCTTTATCTTCAACATTGCATCAATCATTCAACCTCTCCTCCCCGCCCGCACCCCTAGCTGACCTACGGGTCTGATTAAAAATGAACAGCAAATTTTATATAAATGGCATTGTGTCATCGAAATATAAAAAGCAAAGTAACGAAAATGCAAATGTAATCCAAATAATAGTAAGATATATTTCTTTCACATTTTGAGCAACTTTTCAATTAATGATTTATAGACAGTATCATCAGAATAGAAAAGGATTTGGCCAGCCAAAATTATTTATATCTACATTGCGGGTTAGACCAATGGACATTTACATTTCAGAGTGACGGGCTAAAGTGAAGAATAATCCAAGTTTAATATTATTTAGGGAAATAAAAGAAATATATGAATTGTCACAATATCTGCTTAGAATGCCATCACATTCGTTAGATGTGAGTACGGTTGACATACAAATAAAGACAAAATAGATTGTGTGAATTATGCGAACAAAGAACTGTAGAAGATAAATATCATTTTGTCATGGAATGTAGATTTTGTAGTACATTATCATGATTACGTATTAGGTATATTCCGAGGTATTTCCGGATTATGGTAAAATTTGTTTGTTTAAACTGAGTAATTCATTGCTATATAAAATTTCAGTGTTTATAAAACATGCTTTTCGTAAACGACGAGAATATTTAAATGTCGCGTGGAGGATGAACTACACATGTGGGGAGAGCACTATCGGTAACACTTTTGTAAAAAAGTGACATATCAACTTTTGTAACACTCTTAGATTGTGTAACTTGTATATAATTCTGTTATATAACTATGTCATTGTTGTCACAAATGTATTTATGAATTGGTTGATGTTGATGTGCTGTATATGTATATGCATATATATAAGACTAAGAAATATAAATTTTCTATTCTGCTCAGTATAGAAATACCAAAACAACTGAGCGCGAACTTAATAAAGTTAACACTGAAGGGCACACGCAAGGTTTTTTCATATCTTATTTCATAGGCTTATGTTTTCAAATAGGCATCTTGCGCAATAAGGTTCAAAGTTCAATGCATGTACAAAGGCAGGTAAAGCATTTTTACACAACTCAAGCAACTTTTTTAATGTTTCAAAACAGTTTTAAAATGTACTTCGATCCGACGGTTAAAACAAAATGTCTTTAAAGATTTTTTTATTTTTATTTATGTCAAAGTTTTGGTCTGAATTTAGATACAGGAAAATTCGTAAGAACATTTCAACACCTTGTATTACAAGGACAATTATCAAGTATCCACTTCAAGTAAGGTTACACTGTTAACATTTTCCTGCTCTTTGTCCTTTTGGAGGACCACATGTGCATGTTTTGTTGTTATCATTATCATTATTTTCATTATTACTACATACAATTTGTCGCAGTAGCAGCTTTTTACGATGTACTATTTAAAAACAAAGTAAGCGAAAAACTCTTGTGTTTAATTATATAATTATGGCTTATCTGCATTAAAAACAAGTACAGTAACAATAATTCAGCAGACAGGAACAAACTCCTCCTTCTGTGAATTTGCATTGATTATATGAATTAAACGTTTATTAAATGTTATCAAGCTTTTATAAACTTCAATATTAAAGCGTTCATAAACTAACGCTTTTAATACATTTTTAAAAAAGGTTTATATAAAGAAAAAAAAGATCTTTGGTACATCATACACATTTTTTTTATCTCCAAACATGTTTAACATGAATACAATGTACCCTGATTGTAGCAAGAAAAGGTTCAAGCTCCCAAAAAAGCTACGGTGATCGGAAATAACAGAATCTTGTACTAGCAACGCAATGAGCACATGTATTAGGCTCGCAAAACAAAGTACACTGAATTCGTCTATCCTCTGTGAAAAGGTTTTAGTGTGATGATTTCAATACATTCAATCAATTCATTTTATTGTCTGTGCATTTGGTCGAGTGTCCATGTGTACCGCAATTATTTGCAACAAAATTATTTTAATGTCATTTTGGTTTATTTATGAATAAGAGCACCAATGAAGGAGCTTCTTCCGTGACTTTCCCACAGCAGAACATTGGTACTTCCGCTTGTACATTTCACCCATACTTTCTGTCCGGTCTCTACACGGGCGAACGTGCTCATGGAGCCGCAATCGTAGTTGTTATTGTCGAATTTGTACGTCGTCGCTATGTAGGTATTTTCAAGAACTATGGCATACTGGAAATACCGACCACTGTAGTTACATGCATGTACTGCAAAGTAGTAGAGACCAGAGACAGGCGCCTTGAACGTACCGAGAACTGTGTCATATCCTTTTCCTTCATTCAAACGAGTGTATCTCCATACCATAATCTCGTTGGTATCTGGACTCGTATCGACTGGCTGGTATGCATCGAAAGCAACCAAGGGTAGTTCTACTCTTTCTGAAATATTTTTTTAAACTACATGTATAATTAATTTGTGATAAAATCATGAATTTATAAAAACATCAATATCAAAATAACGTGAACATAACAAAAGAAATCCAAAATTAACGCTAAAATGTATGATTATTTTAGTCCCTGTTATTTATGATCAATTCAAGTAATGGAAAGTGCAAGTTACCGTCCACGCTCCCTAGCACCGGCTTAAGCAAAATTATAAGCAATACATGTAAAAAAAGCTGCTAAACAATTAAACATGCTCAAAAGAATAGGTCACAGGTTTCATCCTTCTGTTATATGCCACAATATTGTTTTTACGACTGAGTTTGAATAGACATAATTACTGATACAAATATTTGACAGCATTAGGTTTATTTAATTATTTTGAGTTTGAGTTTGAGTGTTCCAGCTATAGAAATGGAAAAAGACGTTAGGTGTCCCTGAGTAGAACCACCGGTCTTCGTAAGCTAGCTGGATAGCTTGCTCACCCGACAAATTCCAAATTCCCTGACGGGATTCAAACCTACAGTGGTCACGGGAAAGTGATCCGAAGTCAGCGGTACTAACAATCGACCACGGAGGCCATTGCTCGCTAACATGCAGTTGTCAATTTATTGTTTCTGTACTTCAAAGTTAATGTAGATTCAGATAAACAATGGTATATTCATAAGCATAATACCCCAGAAGTATGGTAACGTTAGAAGCTTTATACGTTAGGATACAATATTTTAGCATCTATCAAAAAGCGAGATTAATTTTCAATATTTTCTTGTAACACATTTAATAAAAGCTGTGTTTTACATATAACAAGCATTATGATATTCTTCATGATGATCATATGACAAAAAATGTTACAAAAGGATGCGCGTTTCGTATATAAAAAAAGATTATCTTGTACCTCATATGCTTTCAAACTAAACTTATATGTTTTATTCTTAAATCAAAAGTCTCATCTCCTAATAGCTCCAGTTCGGCGGTTTTATTGTCTAGTATACCAGCCTGGTTCTTTGTGAAAGTGCTGATATTTGTCTCTGTTTGTTTCAATTCCTCTTCCATTCGTTCCATCTTCATTTCCATATTAATCATCCTGCTGAGAAGTTTAGCATGGTAAGCGAATCTGTCGGGCTGGTCATCGCCTGATGTTACTGTTAATATAGCTGAGCTAACCAGTCCAAATATAAGCAAAACTTTCAATCTCCACATTACAGAACCTTTGTCACTTTTGTCGCAGTGATATTGTACTATCAGCACAATAAACTTTCTGTATAATTCATAATGTCAGTATTGTTCATTGTATAATAGCTTTTAGATATAGAGTGTCTAAACTGGCATCTCCAACTTAATTGGTCAGTATAACAAATAAACATCATCCCCCTTTTTACTTTTAACCAATCAGAGTGAAATTATTTATTACTCGTAATGCACTTACTTTCCTTGATTAGTAAAATATTTGATGTTTTAAGTGGCACTTATAATGCTTATACCATAAAACAATTGTTGTTAAGCTAGTGTTTCTAGTTGAATACTTTACTGCATTTTAATTAAAAAGTACTTATTGAAATTACGCGTTCAAGTTAAACTAGCATTCAGTTAACAAGTTTGATTATAATGCATTTATATGTTTTCCCCGAGATTGTACCAACAGCAATGTAACAACATTCAAATTAAATGGATGCTGCCATGCCTCATAATCGTAATACTATATAGATTTTAACCGTTCATACAGAGGAAGCAAAACTGACATTTAAAAAGATATTAAGATTAAGCTAGCCTAGGTCATCGTTTATTCCAGGACTAAAGCTAAGAATACAGATATTGGTTGCAATTTTTACACTGCCAGTGCTTTGTTTTATAATTAGACAGGTGCTCGATCTCTTCTTTAATCAATCATTCAAACATATTAATAGACAACAATAAAATACATTGTAAGAACCTGATGTTATATATTTGCCTTCTACACCGTAGGGAACGTGTTACAGTATCGCGTTTTTCGGTTACAGTATAGAATTTTCAAGATGGAGGATTATTTATAGGAAGAGAGGTAGGTGATTTTTATTCAGGTCCATACTACTAGTAGTTTAGTTTCTAAAAGATGTTTTTGTGCTTTGCTTGTAAGGAACAGAATCCGGTATCTAGTCATATGATTCTTCAGACCCTGCACCGCAGATTTATCTCTGTATTGTCTCATAAATGTGTAGATTTGACGGTTTAAAAATTTGAATCGAGAGACCAACGCATTTTTCTCCCATTCCGACATTATTTAAGCATGCCTAGATAAAGTAAATCTACAAAACGTTAGTCCTTTGTGTTTAGAAACGTTTATAAAAGTAAATGACCAGTTGAACCTATTTTCTTGTTGGTAAAATGCGTTTTAAAAAATAAACAATGTTACAGTATAGAGCGAGGTGAATTTTGCTGGGTTACAGCATAGACCTAGCGACTTTGATCCAATTTTGTTACAGTTTATACCCAGATTTCGGTTACAGTTTAGATACTTGCCAAATTTCAATCAAAGTTCGTGTATCAATTTTTGTTATGAAATAACTCATACCTTTCTATTTAATACATTCTTGAAAGGTTGCATTACTTTTTTTCTTCAGCAGAAAAAGTTATAGTTTGCTATTTTTCTTACTTTAAGTTTCAGATTGAGATTTTTGCAGAATAAGTAATGTCCTAAGTAAGGACTGTTTTCCATACAACAACAGTAACTTTCATCGGATTGTATTGAGAGAAGAAAGATTATTGCTTGATTTCATTTTTACACATTATAGAAATGCCTATTAGTAATTAAATAGAGAAAAAAGAATCCTTAACAGAAGTCCAACACGGACAACATGAAAATGTTGCATGCTCAGTTTGATTAAACCAGTTCATGGACGGTAGTGCATAACTGCAAGCTACCGTCCACGCCTCCTAGCACCGGCTTCAGCAGAATTCACATTAAACATGAACTGGTACACTTTTGATTTTTTAACATCTGTGGATGTGTTCATATGGCGGTTATCATGGAACCTTCAATGTAACACATTATTGCCATTCTATGAAAAGCGGCATATTACCCCCAGGTTAAAAATTGCGTGTGCCCTAACCGAGGAATACAATGAGTGAAACGCAATAAAATGAAATTTTGAGAGGGATCGGT